TAGAAATAGTAAAAAAATTCCCATACCTGGGATCAAATAATGATACAAATGGGGACTGCAGTCAAGAAATCAGAAGAAGACTAAGAATGGTGTTGGATAGCTATGAAAAAACTAGAGGATCCCATGGACAGCCAAAAAGACAAACAAGTGGGCTCTAGGGCAGATCAAGCCGGAAACCTCCCTGGAAGCCAAGATGACCAAACTGAGGCTGTCGTACTTTGGACATATCATTAGAAGAGAGGCCTCTTTGGAAAAAACAATAATGCTGGGAAAGGTAGAGGGAAGAAGGAAGAGAGGAAGGCCACATGCTAGATGGATGGACTCTATTAAGGAGGCCACGGGAGTTAAGGGGTTGCAGGAATTAAGCAGAGCAGTGGAAAACACAGGGTCTTGGAAATTTCTCATCCATAGGATCACCATGAGTTGAGATCGACTCGAGAGCAGTTAACAATAACAACAACAAACCTTCATAGAAAGAGACCAGTTTAACTGGGGCAGTTAAGGCATCCCCAAGCTGGATTATTTCTGCAGTGTGTTTTGGACCTCTGTATCTGGGGTAGGAGTAGCAAATATTAGGGCAAGACTATTGGACATGGCTAGTGGGTGTGGCTTTACAGTCCCTAGCATTGCAACTGGGCAACAGTAGCAATCCCCTGATCACATCTTCTAGGAAAACCAAAAGATTTTAAGAGGACATGCAGAAAGTAGTTGGCACTAAGATTTCATGACAAGTCTCTTGTGTTTTTATTTTAATGGAAGGTAGGAGTGAGTGGACCTAACACATATGTATTTTAACTTTACTAATTTAACTTTACTCATTATCATCTTTTTTTTTTTTGTCTTTCACCTTAAACTGATGTGGCTTTCTTATTTTTGCTTCTAGCAATCAGTTATCTCAAGGCAGAACATTCTCAAACAGTACACATTCTGACTTTGTGTTTGGAGAAAATATAGTAGAAAGAGTCTTGGTGAGTAATTTTTGTCTCATTTGGTGGGGCAATGGAAGGACAGCCAGGAAAAGTGACTTACCTGAGCTTGAACTTTATAACACAGGAGGCAAACGTCCTCCTCCTGTCATTAAACCGGCATTAAATCCCGTCATTATCCCGCAATAACGGGATGATTTTCAAACAATGTTCCCTGATGTCACCATTATCTTGCCATTATCCTGTGAATAAAGTGGCAAAATCACACACTTTTTATCACGGGATTTCTGTGGCAACATCAGGAGACATTATCTGAAAATCATCCCGTTATTGCAGGATAATGATGGGATTTAATGTCAGTTTAATGCCGGGAGGAGAACGCTTGCCTCCCATGTGATAAAGTCCCTTGTCTCATCACCATCTCTGTCATTCAATGTCATCTGCATTCTGCAAATATTTACATTTATTTCATAGCACATTAATTTTAAAATATGTTAAGCAATTTCCCTTCTTGGACAATATGAGGCAACTTTACTTATAAAGAGATAATCCCAAAATGTTGGCCATTTCTAAGAAATGTTTCTCAAAAGTTCTCAATACATTTAGCAGAAAGGAAAATCAATGATGCCTTGAAAACTGGCTGCCTATGACATTTTCTGACTCTTAGGCAGTAAGAACTCAACTTTTTTCTGAAACATCATCTAAATAACACTTGATCTAATAATGCAATTGGTGCTAATATGAACTTTCTATCAAAGACATCTGGGTAGGGAATTCTAGTGACTGAACTGGCTTATTATGTTTCTTTCACAGCCATTTGATCTGTAGCAATTAGCATCCCATTAAATGCTTCATCTGATATTTCCTGCATATCAAGTTCTTGTTAAAGGCAGAAGATCAGACTGGGCCTTTTTTCTCCCCAGTTGCTAAGCAACTTTCTACCTGGGAACTTTGCACATCACATACATGGGACTTACTAATAGTGTGTGGCTAAGTATACTTTTGTTCCTCAATGTAGGATGACGTAAAAGTACAAAAGCATAGGAATGAAAGTGAATTTCATTAAAGTTGATATGCTGATGACAGTACAGTCAGCCCTATGTATCCTCAGATACTGCATTCACTGATTCAACCATTCATGGCTTGAAAATATTTAAAAAAAAAAATTGCCAAAAGCAAAGCTTGATTTTGCCATTTTATATAAGGGACACCATTTTGCTACATCACTCTAAAATGGGACTTGAACATCCATGGATTTTGATATCCACAGGGTGGTCCTGGAACCAAATCCCAGGACCACCTTGTGGACCAAGGGCCCACTGCATTCATTTCTCCTTGGACTCATTGCAAGACGAAGCTCAAATTTCCTTGGAATTTCCTTCATGCACTTGTTAGGTTTGTGATGTGTTTTGGAGAATACAAATGCGAGCATAAAAATGCATACAACTAAAAATGTGCACATTCTTTATCAATATGAAAAGCATACATCAATGTGTATGATAGGGAAATACAAAACTAGGCTGATTGGGAAAATGTACAAAAGTGCATATGAATTTCCAACAACAACAAAAAAAACCCCACAAAATTTCTCAACTTGATATGAACAGAGGATAGACTGGGAATATGAAGGTGGGATTTGAAGAAATGCTAGACTGAAAGTTTTCACAGCTCTAAAAAGGGGATATGTTAATTTTCTATGAACAATCTAAATAACCTGAAGGCATCAGATCACATCTGATCTTGGAAGCTAAGCAGGGTCCAACTTGGTTAGTATTTGGAAGTGAAACTGCCAGAGAATTCCAAGTGTGTGTATGTGCCTTCAACTTATGGCAACCCATGAATTTCATAGAGTTTTCTTAAGCAAGAAATACTCAGAGGTGGTTTTGCCAGTTCCTTCCTCTGAAATACAGGTTACAGCACCTAGTATTCATTGCTGGTCTCCCATTCAAGTACTAACAAGGGCCAACCCTGCTTAGCTTCCAAGATCAGACAAGATCTGTTAATTTAGGGTATTTAGGCCCTAGAATTCCAATTTTTTATAGGCTATATTCAAAGGAAGGCAATGGCAAACCACCTCTAAGTACTCCCAGCCTAAGAAAACCCTATGAAAACTCCTGGTATGCAAAATTATATGTCATATTGAAGTACACAGCCATAATACTCGGGTACTGGGAGACTAGGGTTTGAATCCCAGCTTGGCCATGGAAACCCACTGGGTGACCTTGTGCAAGTCATATTTTCTCAGCTTCAGAGGAAGGCAATGGCAAACCCCCTCTGAAGACACTTGCCAAGAAAACTATATGATAGGTTTGCCTTAGGGTCATCATAAGTTGGAAATGACTTGAAGGCACACAACAACAACAACAACAACATGCTTTCTTTCTGCTCTTTTATCTTTTCTCTTTTCCACAAAAACACCAAGACAACAACAACAGCAACAAACATGGTAGTACAGTAGTACAATGCCTTTTGATTGGCAGACATAAGAGCTGGGACTATGCTTCTGGGAATGTGCTGGAGTTTAGTACTTGCTTGCTTTGGTCCAAAAATCCTGAGTTGTATTAAACTAGAGTTCCTTATTATATTCCCCAAGCTGGGAAATTTTAGCATACTTTTTGTATAATGTTGCTTAGCAAATCAGAAAAATAATCCAGAATAATGGTTTATGAAACTGAGAATGATTGTCTAAACCAGGGTCTAGAAGATGTTCTGACATTTTTAATAGATATAATCACTTTGCAGCATATTTTAAGAGGTTCCTATAATTCTAGTGTGGAGTCCTTATTAAAACACAAGGGTAGAAACATTAATTTTTTGGATCACAACTCAGAATCCCATAGTCCATATCATGAAAAAGAACAGTTTAAAATGAGACTATAATTACAAGAGATTCTGCTTGCCTAGGAAACAATCCAGTGCAAAGTTCTCCTAGTACACACCCCTTTGTGTCAACATCTCTTTTTCAGGAGTTTCCTCATCAGTTGTGTCCAGTCCTACTGGATTGCCACCTGAATTCTGTGGAATACTATATTCCAGATTTGTTGTTGTGTGCCTTCAAGTCATTTCCAACTTATAATGACCCAAAGGCATGGTATTTTCTTGTCAAATATCATGGGATTTTTTGGAAAGATTTGTTCAGAGGGGGTTTGCCTTTGACTCTCTCTAGCTGAGAGAGTGTGACTTGCCAAGGGGCACCTGTAACCCTGAGGCGGACACCTGTCCAAAAAGGACACTCAAATACCAAAGTGAGCTCAGGGAATTATGTATTAACTCAAAGATAGCAAAGCTTAATGGCTGGTTTACTTAGCCAAGGACCCAATCCCTATGTATACCAAGCCCAGAGATGTGAAGAATTCCAGAGGCAGGTTTCTAACCAAGTAATGAGTCTTATTTTAAAAGAGAAAATCCATCATACACCACACACAATCACACATGCTCACAAGACTAAGAAATTCAAAGGTGTTACGTTGGAACAGAGTAGGCTGAACTAACGGAAATACTACACCTGAATGGATAGTTGCTCTGCTTATTACAGGTCCGGAGATGAAATGGGAAACTCAGTTGCTCCCAGAGCAAACAGAAGTTGGCAAGCAAGAGAGGGGTTAGCCAAGGAAACTGGTAACATGTATGCCTATTACTAGACTAAGCCAAGGAAACAAAGGAAGGGTACCAATATTTATAGGGAATTTCAACCCGGCGCAAAATTCAAGGTATAGAAAAAGGCCAAATGGTAGTGCCTTCTCTGAAATGGGTTTGGATCTCTTTGAAGTTTTTTTCCAAGGTGGTAACACTGGGGTGTGAATATGAACAAGGCAAGAGGGATTAGCATGCAGGACTACCGGAGCCTTTGACTCCTTGGTGTCAGCCTATTGTTGGCATTTCTCACTTCCCCTAGAGTGTCTGAGAAAAACAGAACACCTGTGACTCCTAATGCTGGCCTAGGTATGATGGAGGAATTCTAGTAATGACGTCCACAGTAGGGTCATAGAAAGGCCATTTAATTGGCATTTTATTGCAATTCTGATATCAAAAGAGGAGGGATCCAGTTGAGCTAACACACCCATTAAGTTTCCATGACTGAGCAGGGATTTGAACCCTGGTACCAGAGTTATAGTCCAACACTAAAACCACTACACCATGATGGCTCTTATATTCCAGAACACTGTTTGCAAAAGTGGAATGTTAACCCCATCTAGTAAATGCAGAATATTAACATATAGGTACTATTTAGCCTTTATCCTGTTGTGTACATTGTGATGCCTTTCATTCTTTGTAAAAAATTAGTATTAGTATCTGACCTACAATTAATTCCAGTTCTAACTTTTTTCCATTGTAATATCTTTTTCCAGTTTTCCAATAACATTTCCAATTTTCTATCCCATCCCATTCTGCAATGTCTTTCTCCAATTTTCCTTAGAGGCCTGAGAAATCCCCAGAGCTACTATTGGAAGATGAACCACACAACAGTGAAAACGAAACCACATTTACTATAGACTTTCATACTAGTTCTCCATGGACAAGTAGGTGCTATACAATAGCCTTAAGTTTACCATGCTGCTTCCCCTTCTCTTCCCAACTTTGGATAGATGGTTATTGTCGTAAGTGTTGATAGACCTAAAAGAAAAGGCCAAATTAAATTAAGAAGATGCCTTCTACCAGGTTAGATTATTTTATCTCTCCAGACCACTGTTGGCTCCTTCAGTTGTAGTAGTTTTCAGCTTCATTTATATTATGTCCTGATTCTTTTTTAGAATATATAAACCTGGAATGTTCTGTGTTGAAGATGACAAAAAGCCAACAGGTTAAATACTTTTACTACAAGAATGTGTAAGACCATTGCTCCCTCTAGTTTGGGCAAATTCTGTTGGTTTGTGAGTTGTGGGAGGGGTAATTTTACCAAGTCCTTCCCTAGCCCAGTCATTTGTTTTGGCTGAACATTAGAAGAAACATCTTAACAGCAAGAAATTTTAGCAGTGGAACTAAAGAGAAGGGCAGACTCTCACTTGCTGGATCAGTTTGAGGAGAAACTGGACAGCCAGTTGGTGGGGATGCTGAAATTGTTGGCTGAGATACTATTCAGCACCAGTTGAATATAAAGTTCTGCCAACATACTTACATAAATGTGGCCCATTTGAGTGATGCAGTTGGCCATTCTGGGGTAGGGAAAGATTTGTATTTGCATGCTGACCAGACTTTAAGATACCCCATTGCACTGCAAGCAATATGAAATATCCATAAGCAAGTACCTAAAAAGTACAATTGCAGGCATAAGGATGTAATGCCCCAATAGATTCCTGCTTTTTTAGGGGTCAAGCAGATGGGCAGGAAAGAGCCACCTAAAGCTGCTTCTTCCAAGAGTGGGCTGAGACCCCGCTGATCGTACCACCTGCTCCCAAGGCAACCCACATGCACATGCCATGACCACATGATCCATGCTGCTGGATTTTTTTAAAAAAGTCCCCCCACCATCCATGCGCACTGTTGCAGAAACAGACTGCCTGCTGACTAGATGCCATCCCATTGGATGGTCACCCCTTTTGATCATGCAGACAGTTGCATCTGCGATCCTCCACCAGGCATCAGAGCAGAAGTATGCCCAGTAAAACACTGGCAATGCCTAATCATGCCCCCCCTACATGCACCCTTCAGCCCTCTTCACACCATGCCCCATCTTGGACTGTCAGGTTTTTGTATGTTGTATTTATAGCCATTGGAGGTTTACACTTTCCCTTTTTTGTATTGCCACCCCAACCACTGGCTGCATCCTTTTTAAATGTACACCTGCACCCATGCATTTATATGCTGCTTTAGGGTTAGGGTTAGGATGGAGTGCTCCTTTGGGATTGGTCTTGTGTCGAGGCGTTTATATGCAGGGTCGAAGGTGTGTACTTTCAGGGCTAGGGAGGTTTCTTTCCTCTTCTTTTTAGTCTGGCTTTTCCCCCCCTTAGAGAGACTGTGGTGTGGTTTCTGGCCACTTCAGGGGCATATGTCATCCAAATGCCATGCCTCCAAAGTGGCCTGAAACCAATTCTTTTGGCCCATCTGTTTGAAGCCATAGTCCCAGTAAAAACCGGAAGGGAGGAGGAGAGAATGATGTAAGCTGTATGACACAGTAGGCAAATTGACCAATTTTCATTCTGATCCCATGGCACTGTAGGGAACTTGGCCAATCATTCAGATCTGTACAGAGACTTTGCTCACTATTGGTTCTGGATATTGTGAGATCCAGTATGGGCAGAACTCCTTTTTTAAAAAAATAATAAGAAGAAACAGTAGCCTGATTTATTAAATATAAACTCCAAGGGAATGCTCATTTGCACACTTCCCCACCTTCCACAGTAACAGCAAGGAGGAGTTAGTAACCAGAGAACCAGGTGTATAGTGTAAGTATTGAACCATACATGTCCCATGGGACTTTTTTGTTCCAATATATCTCAGAATTGGCAGAGGGCACCTGCTTAGGAGAGAATAAAATTTTACTACTGATGTGGGTTACTGCCACTGATCAGTCTAGGACAAGAGAAATGTCATCCGGTTATTTTTTAGAAAACAAAACAAAAACTAGAGCAACAAATACTGAAGCCATCAGCAACATTTACTCTGGAATGTTTCTATAACTGGTAGTAGCTGTTCAAGGTTTTAGACAGAGGTCTTTTAGGGGGGATGCCCTGGTCCGGAGCGCCGCGGGGCCATGGCAGTTGCACCGTGGCGCTCCTGCGGCGTGCCTGGAAGGAGCGCTAAATCAGTGCTCCTTCCTCAAGACAGCGAAAGTGCGCCCTAAACACGTAGGGCGCACTTTCGCTGTCTTTTCCGCCGCAGCGCATGCGATCGCTGCGGCGGGAGGTTGCCCTGGAAGCGCCGGCCGTGCGGAGGGCCGGCAGCTTCCAGGGCGACCTCAGGAAGAGGAAGGAGCGCCACGCGTGCGGCTGCTCCTCCTCTTCCTGGGCTCGGAGACAACCCTTTTAGTCGTCTGCCGAGGCCCTTACTGTCTTGCTACTTCTGCAAGACCCCCCCCCCCATATTTTGGATCATTTCTCATCCCTTTGACTAAGACCAAGTGTAATCTGAAGATGCTAGAAAACAAACCTGATACCTCATGCATTTAAAGCATATGCTCACTGCTGAGCTATACCCTGTAGAGACCAAACAAATAGATGTTCCAAATGCTATCTTAATAAAAGGCCAGTTATATCTGAATCATAGTCATGTTGAAGGGGGAGGGAGGAAGGTTAATATCCAATAAATTTTATTATAGTTGCTCCTTCCTCTTATGAGGAAAGCTTAAAAAATTATTCTCTTTCTTCTTGTACAACACTAGATTTTGTCAAGGATACAACACTGGCTGAATCAGCTGCTGCTTACATATCTAACAAGCCAAGACAAAGATATTTATTAGATAAAGTTGAACTCAAAACAGGAGAAGAAGCAGAACACAATGTGTTGCAGGTAGGTTTTCCCCTTATTTCTAGGTGAATGTTTGAATGTTTCTATTAATATTAATGGGGAGAGTGAGGGAGACCAAATTATGTCTTGATTTTACATGGCGACCTTCTGATGTCTGACTAATATGTACCACTGATTATTATTTTTATTTTAAACAGCTATACATCAAAGTGGAAATCACTGTCCTGAGCCTTAATAGCTAACTTTAAAAACTTTCTAACACAAATGTTTGTTTTTGTAAAGAAAATGAAAATAAATAGATGAAAATAAATAGATTTATCCTGTCATTTAAGACAGAAGCTATCATTATAGAACCTAAGCAAGGCAGTGTTAAAAGAAAAGTGTTCCCTAGACTCATATAATTCATATCTGCATATGCCAAATTGGCTGCAATCCAGTTGGGCTCTGTTCTTTGCATGCGTTTGAACTAAAGATTTCAATAACATGCAGAGCACTCCCAGAGTAAAGTTACTTGTCTGTACAACACTTCCAGAATCTCTCAACCAGCTATTTCCAAACAAGGCCCCTGATTGAACTAAGGATATGAATAGTGAAGAGTATTTCCTCACATACTGGATGGAATGATCATTTGTACATTGGGAAGTAAGCCCATACTTGGAAAAGGCACTAGACTTATTGTGTATAGCTTCCCTGGGGAGCACAAGCCTTCTAATACTCATCACAACATACAACTATGCATCTTTGCCAATTAATTTATGCCCATGTTCTGGAGAGCACAGGTATTCTAAAATTGGAGATCACATGCAATAATGAACCCTGAGAAAATGTTGGAAGTTCACTGATCCCTGTGTTTTTTCTAGAGGGGGGAAAGAATTTGAAGTTGTTCTCTGGGAAGAGTATTCTGTTCTACTTTTCTCTTCAGATTTGTTACTGAATAATTTAGTATTCATTTTGACCATTCTCTTGCTGTTTCATTTTTACATTAATAAATAATAACCATAATACTAATACTAAAACTAGACCATTTTAAATTAGTATAGATGGCACTGAGTTTTTAATTTAGTGTTTAAAAATCCATATTCCAATGTCTATTCCAATTTCTCACCTTAGATCAACTGCAAACTTTTTTTATTTAACAAAACATCGTTGTCCTGGACTGAAAGAGGCAGTGGTTCCTTGAGACTTAATGATACATCCAGCAATCAGTGTGGAATGCTTCAGTCAAGACTGGGTGAGACTTGTTCCTCTTTCATCCTGTCTTTCCCTATTAATGCAGAAAATATCCAAATGCAACAAAATTGTACTTACTATTGCTCTAGGGTTTTAAGTATATATGTCACATTTGAGATAGTTGTGATCTAAGAATAACTTTCATTTGAACAATATAATATTATTCAGTTAGTCAAAGGAGTTTTGATTGACTAATCCATTTATTAAATTTCCTTATGACTATAACTATAGTTTTGAAGAACAACACACATGCTCATTACCCAAGATATGAATATTTCAGCGGTGTATACAGGCCCTCTGTTCCTCCCTGGTTGCAAATGAGCAAACAAACAAGGAGGTCTTCCATTAACTATAATTTATTGTTTTGTCAGAACCAGCAAACTATGGTTAACAGCTTTGGAACAGGGCAGAATATTAAGCTGTAATTCAAAGCTCACTTATACTGTGGTAGTAGAATTTCAGTTACATATTTTTATTAAAAAATAAAATACATCATAAATAATTCTTATGG